AATACAAGATAATAATATTCTAAGATAATAATAAATAATAAAATAATAAAATAATAACTAATTCGTTCTATAACAATGCCTTGGTTTTACATTTTACAATCCTAGTGAGTTGAGTGGATTTTTCTTTATAGAGAACTGGTATTTCTTTTTCTGTAAAGCAGTCTCTGAAATAATGACCTTTTTCACCATATCTAAAACAAGTTACTATATTACTTGTCCTAGTTCATTAGATATTTGATTTGATTTGGGTTGTTAATAGGGCTATAAGTTTAGCGTAATTGACACTTATATTTTGAACTTGCTGTGCTAGTTCACTTATATCTTCTTTTAACTTCTTTTCTTCTTTTTCTTTTGTTGCTTTATTTCCATAATAACCTCTGGCTTCGATCTTTTGGCTGCAGAAATGGCCTCCTCCAAGTTTCATAGATCTTTTATGAAGACCAATGATGCCACCTTTCCTTGAAAGCCTCCGATAAACATTCGCACAATGTATTCTTGGAGTAAGGCTATTCCAGTATTTACTCTTTTTAACAGTTTCTCAAATTTATAAGCATAGTTCTCTACTTGTTTACCTTCTTTTTGGATTAGAGAATTTAATTCGACCTGCCATTGATATCTCTGTTCAGAAGTGGTAAAGTATTTTAAGAACTCTGGCATAAAGCTTCCTTCTTGGTTATATAGTTTATCCTAGTATAACAAGGTTTTTTTATTGTTATGAAACTAGTCTGCAGCAATTCCAGTGAGGTATTTGGTTGCAATTTTAATTTTTCTTTGAGTTGCCTAGTTATTAGCATTGGCAGCACGTTTGAAGGCTTCTATCCACTCAAATGGATCTTTCCCTTCTTCTCTATAAAATGTTTTAACTCTTACCTAGTTATTTTCACGTTGCTCTTGTCATACATTGTGGATGGCTTCCAATGTTGCGTCTCGAAAGGCATTTGCTATTTCCCTAAAGATTATGTTTGCTTAATCTTGATTTACTTGTGTGGGTTCATTTTCATTTTCACTTCATATGATGCATTGATCTTCTGAAATATGGTTGTCATGAAGATCTAGAGATGACCGAAGAGATGATAGAAGAGATAGTTATAGAAGAGATGATTACAGAAGAGATGACTATAGAA